TGTTCTGTTTGCCTGAGCAATGAGGACCAATGCTCGTTCTTAACGGTGCGTTTCTGTGATGCCATGTGGATGCAACAGGGGCACCTCTGAGGACCCTACCAGAGGAGCACTCTCGGGGACATAAGAGGCAGAGAAACCTGTTCCTACTTAACCGCCTGCATCACTCCACAGGCAGCATTCAGGTCAAGACAGTTTTATTAGTAATTTCCATAGGAGCAGGTTTTCAAAGGAATATGATACCAATATTTCACTCTTGCTGCTAACAATTTTACTTGCTTTTCCACTAGTTATTACTTTATACTGATTTGTTGTATTTTTCTTCTTAGTTTCAGTTGTGAGTTGTCTGGAGGTGGAAGTGCATTCCTAAGACTTTGTACAGTGTGTTGCAGCCAGGATCTTTGATGATACATCTTACAGCTGTTACTGTAAATAATAGAATAATACTAATTACCAGGCGTAGTATGGACTCACAAATACAGGCCTTGTTGCAACTGTAAGCAAGTACGTCAAGTAATTATGTAGTTTTATGGGCCTATACAATTCCAGGGATGTCTGTCACACCCATACACTTTAAGAGAAGAAAATATCTATCTGTTTTATGAGAAATGATTTTTTTGTCTGGTTTTGCACACAGAATACACGAACTCCTTCAGCAGAAGTCTTTTACCTCTTGGTGTGCCTATTTTCATGGTTTTATGTTTTCATGTTTTTAATTTTTTTAAAGGAAATTTACCACTATTTCATAGAATCATAGAATGCTTTGGGTTGGAAGGGACCTTTAGAGGTCACCTAGCCCAACCCCCCTGCAGTGAGCAGGGACAGCTTTAACCAGATCAGGTTGCTCAGAGCCCCGTCCAACCTGACCTTGAATGTTGCCAGGGATGGGGCCTCTACCACCTCTCTGGGCAACCTGTTCCAGTGCTTGACCACCCTCATTGTAAAAAATTTCATCCTTATACACAGTCAGTTTCCCCACATTTGTTCTGTGACTGCTGCTTGATACAGTTTTCTTTTAGGCCAGCAATCTGAATACTCTGAAAAACACCTGAAGTCTTCTCACTAAGATATTAGTTGTACTTACATGGTTCAGCATTGACGTAATTGGTATCCTTTGGTCTAGAGTATTTGCCCTCCCTTGCGATTCTGAACAAAGCTACAAGACCTTTTCATTTTGTACATGTAAGAACCATGTTTGATCACACATTGTCTTCTGAAGATTGCAAAACCAGGAGGTCAGTAAAGGAGGGAAATTGAGAGGTAGGGAATAGATTTACAAGAACGGCTTGGGTAGCATACACTTCAGTGGAGTGTGGAGACAGCTGAGCAAGACTGGCAGCAGTTAAAAAAGCTCTGCACCAAATAAATCATCCATCCTGTCTACAAAGGATGATGATATTTTACATTCAACTAGATTAAAAATAAAAATGCAGGTTAAATCTGTTATCAGTAGATTAAACTTGCCTAGGACTGGTCTCTGGTATTGAGGGCAGATGGTGCAAGATGGGCCAAGCTCAAATACTCCATGCTTTTGTTGACTGTGGGGTCACCAAATCCAGCATGCCTGTTGTGAATGGCACTGGATGGGCCTTCATGGACCTAAATGTGAGTATCTGTGGAAATACCATGCAGTACCTGTGTAGGTGGTATGAGCATGGCTGGTATGAGCAGATCACCACATAGACAGGGAAATCTGACACAAGAAGTCAGCGAGAGTTAGACACCAGAGTAACGGAGTGTTCAGCTATGGGGGCTATATCCATGGCATGGATTTTTGTGGTGACAGTACCCATTCCATGGACCTGGGGTGGACACCTGCCTTCTGA